TACAAAAGTGGACACGAAATTTGTAAAGTTTAATGTCTTTCTGTTGTATTCATATAGTGTATTATCTTCAAAATAAATAAAAACAATAAAAAAGAAAAGAAAAAAGCCGCTCTACGAAGGGAGCGCTCTTTTCCTCGGTCTCACACACACACATACAGGCATCTAAACATGCACAAACACACCTTTTAAACTTGACAAAAACTCTCAAAAATCTTTACTGTCTATTGTGTCTTTAATATGGTGTAAAGATTATCATGCGTCATTGAAACATCAAGGAGGACGCAGCAAAGAAAAGTCACTTATAAATTAAAACTATTTTATTATTTTATGCAACAGCCTTACATTTAAAAGAGAAACATAAGGGCGATCCAACGCAAAAAGACCCCAGCCTATAATTTGTTCCAGATGTTTTCTTTCGCTTATTTATTTGTTTGGCGCATGTACTCATGTGCAATTGGAAAACTGTCCAGCCTCTCCTTTCACTCCGCCCCGAAGCCTGGCTGGCCCTCTTTGGCCCAAGGTATTCGGCGGGCCGAAAAAGGCCGGCCGCTGGCCCCAAGAAAGCCCCGATTTGGCCCGATTAGGCCCCGGAAGTGACAGTGGAAACGCGACTGGCCTTGGCTTGCTCGCTTTAGGCGCTATAGTGGAAACGCGGCTAATGCCACAACCTACCTGAGTATTGTTGCTGACCATGTCCATCCTTTTATGACCACAGTGTAATCATGGCTACTACCAGCAGGATAACGCATCATGTCATAAAGAGTGAACCATCTCAAACTGGTTTCTTGAACATGACAATGAGTTCACTCAATCCAATAGAGCACCTTTGGGATGTGGTGGAATAGAAGATTCACATCATGGATGTGGAGCCGACAAATCTGCAGCAACTGCATGATGCTATCATGTCAATATGGACCAAAATTTTTGAGGAATATTTCCAGTACCTTTTTGAATCTGTGCCATGAAGGATTAAGGCAGTTCTGAAGGCAGAAGTGGGTGCAACCCGGCATTAGTAAGTTATATATATACATACTCCGGCCACTTTTATATATAATATTTGAACAAACAAACATGTAAACACTTTATAATACATGTGATATATAAAATTTAAATATTCAAACAATTTAATATCATTTTTACTCTAGTTCTAATTCAAATTCTGTTTAAACTAAAAGCAATTAATTTAAAATCAATGATATGGTCAGATATATTATGCACTTGCAGTGATGTATTATATATTACATTATGACACCACAATTTACTTTTATTATTCATCATACACCCGTACAAGCAAGTACTTAAATGCTTTGGCAATATTGCAATCCCCTAAAATAATTCCAATTAAACTTTATTGATACTGAGAGAGAACAAGTGTGTGTGTTTTTGTGTGCATGAATGTGTGTGTGTGAGTGAGAGAGAGAGAGAGAAGTGGAGGTACAGTAAAGCAGATCCTCCTCCAGGTAGGACGCAGCCAGTCGGCGTTATTTTTAAGAGAGCAATGGGAGAGACGGAGAGAGCGAGGGATAGAATGAGAGAGAGGAGGGAGGTGAAGATGAATGTAGTTAATTAAGATGAGCAGGCAGTGAAGACAGTGCAGAATTACACAAACACTAATTAGAGTCTTCGTTAGGGGGCACAAAATGAGAGCAGCGCATCCATCATCTCCCCTCTCCTCTTGCTTTCCTCCCTCATTCCTCCCTTTCTCTCCTCCATCTTTCCTCTGGTTCCTTTATTCTGTTTCTTTTTAACATTTTATGATCTTGGTGTCTCAGTTTGTGCTTTGTGTTTGTGGCTTTACAGTGAGATGATGACAGGACCACAGTATCACTCCCTCATCATCATAGTCATCCTCCTCCTCCTCCTCCTCATTTTCACCTTTGCTCTCTCTGATCCTCTCTTCTTTTATGATGGACACAGAACTCAGTGTCAGCACAATTTTTATTGTTTCCCTCGTTCTCTCCTAGCCTGATAGTTTACTGTCTCTCATTCTATCTCTATCAATTTATCCATCTATTTTCCATTCATTCATCCGTCTATCCTTCTGTCCATCCATCTGTGCATTGTTCATTCATTTATCTATCAGTTTATCCATCCATCCATCCATCCATCCTTCCATCCATCCATCCATCCATCCATCCATCCATCCATCCATCCATCCTTCATGTCTTCTTCTATCAGTTCATCCATCCATTCATCCATCCATCCTTCTGTCCATTTATCTGCCCATTGTCCATCCATCCATCCATTATCTATTTATTGCTCTTTTCTTATTCTATCAGTTTACCCATTAATTCATCCATCTATTATTCTGTCCATTCATCTGTCCAACAATGGATGGATGGATGAATAGATGGACGGATTGATGAACATCCATCCATCCATCTATCCATCCATCCATTGTTCAATAATTTATTTATCAGTTTATCTATCCATCCATCCATCCATCCATCCATCCATTGTTCATGCCTTCTTCTATCAGTTTATCCATTCATTAATCCATATATCCTTCTGTCCATTCATCTGTCCATTACTCATTTATTAATCTATAAGTTTCTCTATCAATTTAAATCTATTCTTCTGTCCATTTATCTGTCCAACTTTTTATCCATCCATCCATCCATCCATCTAAAAAAGTTACCTTGCTCTATCTATACAGAAAAGTTCAAGTGTATTTCTATACTTTAATAAAGTTTTATAGAGTCAAATGTTTAAATCAAAATATATAAAAATTAAAGCAATGGATAATAATAATAATGATAATGATAATAATAATAATAATAATAATAATAATAATAATAATAATAATAATAATAGGTTACAGGAAAACAGGGTTATAGGATGTAAACCTATATATATTTCCAGCTTTAAATTGCTTTTTTAAATCTGAGTGACAGGGTAATTTAACCCTTTGATGAAAAATCAATTTAAGACATAAATGAATGTGATGTCACAATGCAATACATATGCAATTTCAAGGATTTGTTGATGGATCTCCCTAAGTGAGAGAAATGGATATAAACGATCAAAGTACAGCCAGAGGGGGACGTTATGATGTAACTCAGTGAGCTAGATCTGAAAATATAGATCTCATTTATGACTAATGTCAGAAATATGGAACAAATGTGAGATATTATAGTTTTATAACCTCCAGCATTCGCAGGCTGATCAGCACCAGCTGGGTGACAGAAATTACAAATCAAATCTGACTGTCAGAACAAGCCGTCTGAGGGGGGGTTGAAGCAGGACTCAAATGACATAACAGTGCATGTGTGGTTTTATAAGTGCAGGACTTTTAACTTTTTGGAAAAATAAAAAAATATGTTTTATTTAGAAAAGCAACCAAAAGTGTATGAACCAATAGCAAGATAAAGTAAAAATAAAGAGACAAATAAAATAAACTAATGTATGTTAGCTAATTTATAGTGTGGCATTACAAATGTTAATAAAATAAAAATTCTAATCAGAAAAAAAAATTAACACAGTCATATGATATTTTTAAAAAAAAAAAATTTTACCTCTTCATGTTTTTTTTTTTTTTTGCACCATGATTATTGTTTACAAGTGTTTTTCAACAAAGCTTAGGTAAAAGATATGTGAATAACAAAATTTCAGAGAGATAAAGTTCTCGCTGACATTTTGTTGTTCACGTATCTTTAATCATTTATCCTTTCTCCTAACTTTAACTTATTATTGCCTTAGAATTGTAAGGTTCTATCTGACATTTTTGTCAAAATTTAGTTAAAAATGACAACTTATTTACATTACATGATTTTTTTTTATAAGTTGCTTACAATTTGAGACTTTTTATTTAAAAAACAAAAAAAGGTTTTATCTATAAATGCGAACTCTATAGCTTGACTCTATAAGGTTCTTTCTATCAAATCAAATCAAATCACTTTTATAGTCACATCATCAGTCATCATCAGTCATCAGTCAGGAATCAGTTTTCTTTGTCATTTTGCCAGACTGCTTTGTTGACAGTGGGAAAGCCAAAAAAAAAAAAAAAAACTAATAAAGTAAACTAATAAAGATGTGTAAATGTGATGATTTAAATGCATTTTTGACATTGAGATAAAATGTTACAATTTACATTGTTGAAAAAAATATTATTAAAAACATTCAATTAAATTACATTTGTTAATAAAATATGTTATTAAACGTAAAATATTTTATTTGTGTCTATATAGTCACATTTTTTTAGTTATTAAACTCATTTGCTCGTTGTTTTCTTTTAAAGTCTTTAAATTTAAATTTTTTTTTTCATTTTAAGCCTTGAAGGGCAAATAATTAATTTAGTTATTTCATATTCAAAAAATATTCAATAGTTTATATAAAGCAGAAAATTCAACAAATATTACCACATTAGTTACATAAAATTAATAGCTGCACTGGACAAAATCTTAGCACAGCCTTGTATGTTTAATTTGAACAAGAAACAATATTCATCCTAAAACGTTAAATAAATGTTATAGAAAGCAAAAAATGATCTCAAACACCAATATATTGTTACAACACCAATTTTAGCAGATAGAACCTTATAACTCCAAGCGGAAAATGGGCTTTTTAGAATTAGAAGCTTCTCTCCGCATTTGCACTTTTTTTTTTTTTTGTTTACTCCAATTTGCAAATGTAAGAGAATTTTGATAATTTACATTTAAAATGCATTTAGGGTCTCTGTCATGTAAATGTATGAAAGAGAACTGTCAGACATATTGTTTGTTATATGGAATGCATAAACTGTGAAGCTCAATATCTTAAAATCATTTAGAACGCAGATAGAACATTCTAGTTCCAGGGTGACGTTATCTACACTGTTATCCCTAAAGTTGTATTAATTCAAAATACTTAGATTCAATAAACATAAAAAACAACTTTTTTGCTTAGTTATCCATTTTGTTTAGTTTATTGTACGATTTGCATGATATTTTTGATTCTACTGGAATGTTTAAATTGAATGTACCTAACAAAGCTTATTTTAGTCTATTGGTAAAGGAGTGTTGTGCAAGGGGAAATGTGATTGGCTCTTTGTCTTTGGACTGACGTCACTGGTGAATACAGCGTGAGCGCGCATTTTCTAATGGCTGCTGATCACTGTGAGTACGATTTCATACTTTTGTCTCAAACAGTCCTCATTGTTTTCCTTTAATAAACAAAGTATGTAACCGTTAGCAAGAAAACCACATGTAAGATTAAGCTGTGTCTGACGTTAGGATCATGTTATTGTTCCGGTCAATCGCAACCGCCATTGCCACATTTATTAACAGTTCTAAGACGTGAAAAGTGCAAAGACGTGCGTAATAGGATCATGATAGATCATATATTATGTAAAAAAAAAGTTAATGTAAGTTTTGCCTGTGTTAGCGTATTCATTTATGCCACGTATAACCGATCACGGCCGCCGCATTTCATCTATATAATTCGTTACAGTTACGTGGAAACATGCTTTATGAGGTCGTCACGTATAAAGTTTAATATTGATGCTGTATTCGATGAGTCATCCGCGTTATCTTTTGTGTAAACTGATTATTTTTTCAGTGGTGGTTATGTGTCGTCAGATGTTTAGCATAACATAACCTGAGCTGTTTTTAACATTTTTTTTTTTTACTTTTTTTTCTTGTAAGTGAAGTATTAACTGACTAGAATACATTGAGATTTGCCCCTTCGGAAATACGAATTCATGTTAGTTGGCAGTTTTTAAAGATATGCAACCTCGTGCTCATCAGTCTTAGCAAGTGAATTTTCAGTTAATTAGAATGAAAGCTAAATAATTAACTGTAGCTCTCTAATTCTTTTGATTAACAATAGCTGTTTGTGGGAAATTTGGAGATAACAGATCAAATTATGTAAATGTGTTTTGTCAGCTAGTAATCTAATGTATATTTTTGTAACTGTAGATTGCAGAAAGATCAAAGCAAGGCCAACCAGGATGAGATGAAAATGTAAGTATTGCTCATTTGCTTGTGACAAAAGATGGTACTTATTAAAACATTGCAGATTTAAACATGGGAGCTATGCAAAAAGCCAGCCATTTCCATGCATATATCAGGAATGTATTTGTAATGAAATGAGTACAGTATTGATAAACATGATAACATGCTAATTTGACAGTTGTTTAATTTTGACATTTCTCTGATGTTAATAAACATTTTTGTGTTTTACTACTACAGGTGTATCAAGAGTTCAACCAGATAGTGTGGAAGAATCTTAAGCAAGAATTATATTGGTCTCTTGATCATCACTGCCCACAGCTGATTCGGATCTTCAGGTCAAAGAGAGGATTCACTGGACAGATTTTTATCTTCTACAAAATATCAAGGTTTGTGTATGCCATTGTTTGTACATGCCTTTGACATAAATTGATGCCATTGTGTGCTGAATTCTGAAATTTATATAATTACTTTAGAAATCCTCAGTGACAGAGACTAAATTTTAATACATGAAAATGCCCTTTCTCTCATGTTGACAAATGATACAATGTTGTTTCTCTGCAACACCTCAGGCGTCTGACCTCACTGACATGCCTTGTGTTGCCATTTGAGTGCTTCCAGTAGTTGTTGGTGATGACCCAACAGTTCTTCAAAGCATGTTTTGTAAGTATCCTTAATAAAAGTTTTTGTATATTAATCTAAGTTTTTTTGCATTATATTTCTTAATGTGCATTTATGTTAGCAATAACAATAAATAAATCACCCAAGCAATGTCTTATTGTAGTTCATTAATAAATAGAATAATGATCAACATGAAATTTGAATTCATGTTATAACTCCTTTGAAACTCTAAAATGATAAGTAGAATTATATAAAGTCTTTAGTAATTTAATTATATCAAATCTTTTTATGCCGTATGCATTGACTTGTACACAAAAATATTTGTAGTATTTTTATATTTGATATATCATTGAATACTGGATATGTTTGGGTATACAATTAACAAATTATGCTTGCATACAACTAAAAAACATTACATACAAATAATATATATTAAAATCAAATGTACACCTCTAAGATATATTTATGTTATCTATTTATTGTTGTCAGGCTTCAGATGATGGAGACTCAAATCAACATGTGCCCGTTGGAATTCTTAACCAAGAAAATTAAGATGTGGCTCTGCAACCCCTGTCCTTCCACCTCCACCCATTCTCTGGGAATCATCTTGGAGGGAAATGTTGTAATGGACAATATAGACAATATACCCCAGGCCAAGTGTCTTTTTGGATCAACCTATGCACTGCACCTAGGCTACACAAAATGCATGGACAATACCCTTCTTTTTATTCAACAAGTTTGGGTAAGAAGATGCTGAAGGGTAAGATTCTGGCTGTTAAAAATCAACTTGTCATGTAAACTGGTACAGAAAAGGCATGTTCCTTCAGGCTTGCTGTCCTAACTGTGAGATAAAAAAAATTAAAACTATGCTTTAGTGTTTGGCAAGTGTAAATATTCCATAATGTTAAAATGTAATAACATCCTGTGGTTGTTTATTTTTTGGATATGTTTGTAAAAATGTATTTAAAAATTTTAAACAAGTGTTTTAATAAGATTTATAACAATAAATATTGACTAATTGTTATACAAGGCATTTTCTAGTTTTGTCACTTGTTTCGGAGTGATATTTCTAAATGATTTTAAATAAACTGTAAAGTAAATTTTTATTCTTTGTCCTTGTTTGTAATTAGGGGTATTTTCATTAAATCATTTGTTGTGAATAGCTAAGGTTAAAATTATTTCTGTCATAACATTCAGGTCAAGATTTTATGTTTTAAGTTTATACAGGTTGATTGAACTTAAAAAATTTATGGAAACTCGCTGCCCTAAAAAAGCTAATTTCGTCTTGTTGAAAAAACAATACTTTTTAGGTTTATTGTACCTAAGATTTAAATATTGTTGTACTAAAAACCTTTATTTCAGTCAACTAAATATTTAATTAAATGCATTTGAAATCTTAAGTACAATAAACTTAAAAAGTGTTGTTTTTTCAACGAGACGAAATTAGCTTTTTTAGGGCAGCGGGTTTCCATAAATTTTTTAAGTTCAATCAACCTGTCCGGGCTTACAGTGTATAGTTCTAAATCTTTAGTTAATCTTCAATTTTGGTCACACTTTATTTTGATGATCCATTTGTTGTATTTGAGTTACATTGCATCTACATGCCAACTAATTCTCATTAGATTATAAGTAGATTGTTAGGTTGAGGTTAGAGTTAGTGTAAGTTCTGTTGAGGGAGCAATATCAACAGATATTAAACATACAGTCTACTAATACCCTAAATGGGCCATCAAAATAAAGTGTTACCTTATTTTTAACTATCTTTAGTCTTCCACAACTTTATGTATTTGTGATTGTGTGTGTGAGTTTACATTCAGTACAGTACAGTACAAGTTTTGTTACTTGTCACTGTTGACACTGGCTTGCTTGGTTTAGGACTTGTGGAGCTGAAAAATAATGGATTTGCTATTCAGTGTTTGGACTTTCAGCAGTAAAAATTTAACTCTGAACTGAACTAAACTGAACTTCACCTCTGAAAACTGGAGAGACACAGTTTCAGTTTACTAGAACTTCTTTGTTAAGCTGCTTTAAAGCAATCTACATTGTAAAAGCACTATAGATATAAACACTAATTGAATTGAATTCTAAATAAGCTAAAGGTTTATTATATTTAAACCAAATTTTTTTTAAAATAAAGCATTAGACATTTTCCATCAGTTTAATGCAAAATGATAAATTAATAGCCTCAAAAAATACAAATTTCCAAAGTATTTTTTTAGACAAAGTACAGTAGATTTCTAAAGTATTAAGTAAATTAATAGGTAAAAAAAACTATTCATAAATTAACATAAATATTAATGTACAGTATGACCTGATCCGATGATGCCAGCAATTTTTTTATGTTTAAATAATATTGTTGTTTAAATGTATTAAACCACATGCAGTTAGACAAAAACTTATGTGTAAAAAAAAACTGTTACTTCCATTAACACAGTTGCCATTATAGATCTTTTTAATCTACATATTTAATTTTCTTTAATTACAGTATCCGATTTTCCTAATATGTAATTAGAGAAGTGGCTCTTTCGCAGTTGTTGCCATGGTTTTGGATTTCTGTTCTGCTGGGTCATTAGCTGCTTTAATAGTATTCTTCCTGAAATAGATAAAAACCTCTCTCCTTCGAGACATTGCATACGCTCAAAGAAATAATGTCTCATCTCTCTTACGACACTGCGCTAATGTTATGTCTAGACAATTTCTGCTTCTCTCCAGGCGCTTTACCAAGAAATGACGGGAAGCTTGATTAAGTCACACGGTGGGTTTTAGTGGTAATGTGCCCGCAGTGCCATGCTTTAGTCAAATGTTTCTCTTCTTTACTCTTTTTCAAAGCACCAGGAGGTTTAGTGTGATATTTGCAAACGCGGCGGTGTTCCCTGATGGTGAATTGTGCGTGCATGTCAGAGGCATTTGAAAGTCCTCAAACACCGTCACGAGGTTAAATCACGTTTATCGGAGCTGTACGAGCATCTCGGCTCATTTCAACTGCGATTAACTTCGATAAAATCAATAAACTGTGTCTGTGAGATTCAACATTTTGCCAAACATAAAACGTAAAGCTTGCTACTGCTGCTAGTTTCAATAGTATGTCAGTTCTTCCTCTCAGAAACAAGCTGCCTACTTTTTTCAAAGGGCAAACTAACTTGTTGATGTTTGAGCTCATGGAATAAATTCACACTTACCTGAAAGACCCTTTCTGTTAAATGGTTAATTGTATCGAAAAAAATGTCATTTAATGTCAGTAATTCATGTGATCTGCTGTCATTTTGGTGCCAGAAACATTTTTTTTATATAGAAAAACCTATTTGTAAAAGATATTGTTTTTAGCAAAAATATATTTTTGTTGTGGTTACTAAGTCATACCGTATGTGTGGTCAAAACTATTTTGTATTAATATTGAACAACTCAAATATAACTTTACTTTAAACAAAAGTTGTACATTGTTACTTCTACAAGATTATTTGCCAGATTTACTGGGTTGATACTCATTCATTTTCTTGTCGACTCCCTTTATTAATCCGGAGTCGCCACAGCCAGGGGCGGACTGAGAAAAAAATTCAGCCCTGGCAATGTAGCCACAGCAGCCCACTACCACACCGAGACAGCCCCATCCATGAACCCACACATTTCCATACGTAATAGATATTTAAACACCTAATGTATGTGACTGAAACAAAAACAACCCGTTTATAACAAATGTATGCATTTGTAAACACTAAAAAAAAAATAATCTGTGCATCTTGCAGAGTCAGTGTGCTGTCTGTTTATACCGTTTGTCTGCTATTACTTATGATAGGAGTAACTTGTGAATGTGCACACACCTTTACACACAAATGGACATGCAGCATTAGTAACACTTTAGCAGAATTTTTTTCACAAATAACTGTTGTATGTCATTCTCTGCAGTGTTAAGGGGCTTTGCCTCATTCTTGTTTTAAATATATATGTGCCTATTAAACAATTATAGGTGACCTAATGAATAAAAATGAAAAATTATGACCTAATGTACAGTCTCTGGCTGCACGAAACCAGGCACCCATCTCTGATTGGGCCAAATGCTTAACATTTATTATTATCATTTAATTATTACTATGATTATTATTCTCATCATCATATTATCACATCTAGCATGAGATAAAAGCTGCCTGCAAGTAAAAACAATACATATTAAAAAAAAAAAAAAACTGGCTGGCCCACATTTAAAAAATGGTCCGGCCCTTCTGGCATTTGCCAGAATTGCCAGATGGCCAGTCCGCCCCTGGCCACAGCGGAATGAACCTCCAGCTTATCCAGCACATTTTTACACAGTGGATGCCCTTCCAGCCGCAACCCATCTCTGGGAAATGGCTTAATATTATTTATTTTAAATATATCTGACTACAACCTTGTTAATGTTCACTGCAAACATAGTTAGTCTTTTATTTTTGCAAAAACAATATTAAACTGCATTTTCATTTAAAATTTTAGTTCCTACAAATGTTTCAAAAGCAAATTCAACAATGCAAAATGTTACAATTTCCTACTATTTTTTACTATTTTTTTATTCTTTTTGGCAATATGCATTAACTTTGTGAAACATATTAATCAAAACACTGCAAACTTTAAAGTGGAAACAAAAAATAAATATGAATATTAGCAGTGGTATATAAAGAACAGTGTTACTTTCTCCCCACACTGTAAAACCTAACAGTCAAAAATGAAATAAAATGAAACAGTCACTAAATGAAATAAGTTAGTTTAACTTATAATTTAAAAAAAAGTTAATTTGACTCAATGAAAAAGTTATCGTTACTCATGCACTGAATATATTAAGCAGAACTCTAATCGAATGAGTTATGAATGTATTAATTATATTTTTGTTTTAATTGAACTCCAAATGAATACCAAACCATCTGTGTAAAGTTGTTTTGGACTTAATTCATTTAAGTTCTCTGAACTAATTGTAATTGATAACTGAACTTAAAATGTTACTAATACTCTAATAGTTTGATGATATCAACACAGATGAAACATGTGTTTGTGACGCATTATATAAGTTTACAGAACTCAAACCATTTTGTTTCAAAACTTAAATGGTTTGCTGCAATCAGATTCCTCAAACAGTTTGAGTTAAATTGTCGCATTTTACAGTGCAGGAACTCTTGCTATTTAAACCTGATTAACTTTTAAACTGAAACTAAAACATTTCAAAGTCAAGGATGCATTATTGCACTAAGGTTGTTCATTACAGTGATGGATGAAAATAGAAACACATCTTGTTATAAGGAAAAAACAACCTCTTCAGTAATTTACTTTCTGCACTTAAATCTTTTAGACTATGGATGTTGTGGATAGGTATTTATCCCAATGAATGTCTTGCTCTATGTATCTGTCACTGAATAAAGATAGGGAAATGGGAAGTGAGATGAATACAAAGAGAGACATCAAAAGAGACAGCAGCTTAAGCTGAGAGTAAACTATTTAACCATTTCACCCAGCTTTGCTCTGCCTGTCAGGTCTGGCTGACTCTGATTGAGTATATGTGTCTGTGTTTACATTAGCAGAGTCACAGAAAACTAAGCAATACAATAGTGCATTCTGTAAAGCACTACTTGAAACACTGGTTGATTTAGATTTGACTAAATTGATTTTTAGTATTGTAGTGAACACTTTTGGTTTCATTCTCTCTCCTCTCTTTCACCAATCCATCCATTTTCGAAGGCCTTGCTCTCAGATCTGCTTCTCCTCATTCTGCCTTTTTCTCTCTCTCTATTTCCCTGTCTCTCTCTCTCTCCCAGGATCTTTAGCTTGATTTATTGCTTCTTGTTGGAAAGGTTGGCGTTTTAATAACTCAAGTCCTCCACACCAGAACAAGAGAAAATAAAAAATCAAAAAAACTTCTCTAAGCACAAAATAAACATGTGGAAAACTGGCTCTGTTTTCAAGTTGTCCTGTTTTTCCTTCTTGTCTTTTGGTCTTTTTTGCCACTATTATTTGAAATGCTTAACCATTTTGATAAGGGAATTAAAAAATGATTTAGGTCTAAGAAAAATCTAAGAAAAGATAAGGTCTAAGAAAATAAAACTTTTGCAGTTACAAAAAACAATATATAAAAATATATACATAAAAT